GAAACGCCGTCAATACGGCTGCAAGGTATGCTCGCTACTTCGACCAGGGAAGAATCCATGGGAGACCACATTCTACTGCGTAGAATGCACTGAGGCAAAGACAAAGGGGGCGGCAGTCGATGCTACGAATGCCAGAGGGAAGATTTACCTCTGTCAAAAGGTACGGCAACACGATCCGAGCGCTGCAACAAACTCGGCCACGTGCAGCCAAATTTGGCATGATCTTTGGCGTGGAGGTGACCACATCCCACCAGGCCTCAAGGCGTTCAGGTTGCGTGCTGCGTTCGGACGTGATGTCCAGCGTGCTACCAGCGGTGACGGCGACAGCAGAGAGAGTGACAGCGACTCAAGCGACGGCGGCTCAAGCGTCAGGTCTGCACGAAGCTCGCACAGCGTCGACAGTGTGCTCAGTGACGGCGTTAGAGAAACGACAGTAGTCTAGAATGAATGCAAATAATTTGTGAGTGAAGGTATTTGTTGAATTTTGACATTTTTCTCTACAGACCTATATTCTGAATCAGGTAGCGTACAGGTTGTCACGTACACTTGGCAGGCATTTACCCTGTACTGGACACTGTAGATAACAAGAAATGATTGTGATTTCACAATCCTTGTAAAAATGCCGCAATAGTAAGCTCAAGTCATTTTCTTACCCTGTAGAATACAGGGTAATTTTCGCCCAAAATCGCGGGGCTAGAGGGGTTAAATGGCCCAGTCGCTAGCATACGCCACGACTATAGCTCTTCGATCTGGATCAAGGTGTCGTAAGATCGGAGTAGAAGCGATCTTGGCTTTAAGCACACTGTTAGGCCGATATGCATGGATCCAACGCGGATCCATTTCAGTGGGATCTGGCGTCTCCAGAGCCAAAGGTTTTTGGTGATCGATCACCTGATCTTTCTGTGATCCTTGATCCACGTTCTCCGCCTCCAGCACTTGTTGGATCTGTGCTGGGTTGGTCTATTTCATCATCGCAGCAAAGTCGACTTCTCGTAATTCATACAGAACCGACGCGTAGATCGCGTAGTCTTCGATAAATCTGCTGTAATAGTTCAGACTTCCCAAAAATGACTGCATGGCTCTGAGTGATCCAGGGAATGCTAGATCAGTTAATGCCGTCAGGACCTTCGGGTTCGCCTACAGGCCGTTGTGGGAGACCTTATGACCCAGATATTCCACCTTAGGCATTCCCCAGAAACGTTTAACCACACTGAACGACAAATTCCACTTATCGCACGCCTCGAGTAAACCTTCAACTCGATCACATAGTTGATCCCAGTTATTGGCTGGGATTAGGATGCCGTCGATATATGATCTACGCCCAAGCACCGATGGCTTGCCTGGATCCACAGGTTCCCAGTCTTCAAACACATCCAAAGTACTTCCGTGATCTTCAGACTACGGGATCCGGGTGAATCCATATAGCGCGTTGTAGATCATGCGTTGATAGATCTGAGGCGCATTCTTCAAGCCGAAAGGCATTCGATTCCACTCGAAAAAAAAACAAAAAGAGTGATAAAAGCCGAGATCAAACGAGCACGATCCGTCATTTTCTCTACCCAAAATCCACTCGCTATGTCCAAAGAACAGTACCAGAGTGTTGACACCAGATATTCAAGTAGGTCGTTGATGAAGGGCATTGGGTAGATCACCAGCTGGGTTAGACTGTTAACCAGCCGGTAATCGATGCACAACCTGATGTCCACTCCATTCTTCTTGATGATCACCACGATCGGGGAAGCCCACGGTGATCTAGAGTAGTTGATCATCTTGGCGGACAATAGACCCTTGATCAAGTCCGACAGCTTCTCCCTGAACTGGATCCGCAACTTACGACACTTGAGGGCGATAGGTCTCGCTCCCCCGACATCGATATCGCACACCACACTTCTAGCCACCGGCGGAAGGGCATTTCCTTTGCCGATCAAGAGGTGTCGGAACTTCCAGGTCCTTTGGCGAAGTCGATCAATTTCTTCTGGGGGCTGGTTATCGGATCCACATAGCTGAATGTCCTCGATCTTCACATCTTCCGTCGTCACAGGCACTTCTGGTAGTACCGCCAGCTGACCGTCGACATCTTCCGCGTACAGATCACTTTCTTCATGGTAGTATACACATTCATCATAATCTTGATCTGAGTCCCAGGTGAGGTCCAGATCCGACGCGTCTGGTTGATCTTCAATAGAAGGTGGTGGATCCATGTCCGTTTTTTTGCGACATGGGCGCGACGCACTTGCCGTTCAACGGATCACTGGCCACATGTCCCGTTGTACACTCATCATTGATGACGGATCTGATCCATGTGGAGTAGTAAATCGCTTGTGAACCAACGGTAAAAAGCACCACGAGAACTGGGAGGCCGCGATGTGATCCATCTCTGTCAACGTAGACTGACGGCCAATTTCAGTGGTTCTCATTGGCCGATAATCAACGGTGACGAAGAATCAAAGAAACAAGTTCATACCGAAGACCGAGCCATAGTAACGTAGGTCGAGTCATCGGCATGTCCTAAATCCAACGACCAGACTGAAACCACCCAAGATCCATGACCAAGAAAAGACTTGCGACTCGTCGGACCAATAGGAGTTTTAGGGAGTTCCATAACGGACGCGTTTATATTTGATATTTGTATATGACTATAGGTGCATTAATGATTAGATCAACTCTTAAGGGTAAATATAACAGAAACCATTTTCCCACCAACCTCAACAGTCAAGTCCGACCACTCAGCGGTAAGTCCTGTGTGGTGTAGTGTCGTACTTGGTAGGTAGGATTATGCCTGTCGGTGTGCACGTGAAGTAGTGTTCTGTGTTGTACGCCCGTGGCAAAGCCAAGAGGTTTGGTATTGGGTAATGGGTATTAGGGCGAGTCTTCGCCATTGAGATCCTACCATACATTGGGAGGCGGATCGACAGTTCACGAGTCTTCGCCATACATTGGGAGGCAAGGCTTCGTCCTTCTTATTATTCCAGCGCAGGATTAACCCCGGTACCCACGTATAGAGGCGTATAAGGCCAGTACTCTTCCGTAGTTGGGACTACGTGGTATATTGAGTGTGTGTGAGCATCCTAGTCGTGCACGTGGCTAGGATTGCCGAGGTTTCAGTGGTTGACCTGCGGGGACCACAGTACACAGAAACACAGACCAACCCGGTGCACGGGATCGTATTAAGGTCTTAGGGGTCTTGTGGTGACCCCAAATAAGCCTACTAAGCCTTCGTGACGAAGTGGGTGTTGTTGGAGGGAGGTGTACCTATATCTTGGACGTATTCCTATACGACAACTGGTGCCGCGACCCGGGATTGGTGGTGACCTTCTTTGTGTTGTGCTACGGCAGGTCGATTGGATTTTGGGCAACAACCAAGAGAAGAAGAGAAGACAACAAGAAAGAAAAAGAAACAAGAACCAATGGCTAAAGGATCAAATTCAGCGGTACCAGAAACCCATGCAAAGACTGGCGGGACAGACGACTAAGACACGGTAATGCTGGTGGAAACACCGGGCACTGACGAGAACACGCGACGCTCGGTCAGCTTCGAGGACGACGCGAACGAATCCGGTGAAACCATGGAAGAGGATTACGGCCTCGAGGAGAAGGAGGATATTCCAGAAGCCGCGATTCCGGTGGCAGCGCGAAGCAGCGGTGCGAGACCCCGGGCCTGGAATCTTATAGAAGAACTTAATGAAGTTGTCGGGCCCGTACCAGCGTTTGGATATGATGACGACGATGAAGGAGAAGATAATGGCGATGACTCGAAACAAGCTGGGACGACGTCTCAAGTCACATAGCAAAAAACAGGTTATCGGCCACCGATGAATGGAAACACCTAGTGGCAAATAAGGTCCTTGGTCGCACATACGAGGAAATGAAGAAGAAGAGTACGTGGATTAGACTCTTCGAACCAAAAAGGATTGGACAAGCAGTATGGGCGGACATTAGCCACGAGCTGGCTGTAGCGGTGACAGCCACGACGACTGGGCAAGTCGCGAGTGACACGGTGCGGTTCCTGAAGTCGATGGGCTGACAAGTGCGCCACGCCGACACAAGCAGTCTTGGAGTCGTGGATCCCTGCCCAAGCTGGTGCAGATTTATGGAAATGGAAGTGTAAGTTGAGAGTCGGTTTCGGAGTGACTGACATTCACTATCCTCAACCACCAGTAGGAAAGACAGTTGGTGGAGGTGTCGACCCGTCGAAGATTCCACTTCCGAAGACGCCGTCAAAAGATAGAACATCGTGCCGAACTCTCATGCAACCTACTTCCAAGACGCACACATGATAACCCCTAAGTCTTCGGGGAAGAAAGAGCGACCTGATCGCGATAGCGGACGCGCCAACGCGACCAGAAGCACGATGTGAGGTTCCCGACGAAGCTGGGATAGAAATCGGTACGATGAGGACGATTCCACCTCGGATGACGATGATGACAATTATAGACGCCCTCTACAAGACGGAGCCCCGAATGAATAAATAAGACAGATCGAGAAAGCCTCAAGTCCGGAAGGAGAACGCTTGACGCAGAAGATTGAATTGGCGATTCACCGTCCTCTACGACAAATTCGCGCGTTCTCGGGTCTCCGGAACAAAAGTTAGAATTCAATGCAGTTGCTACGTGGATTCGTATATGAAATGAAAGGAACTCGGGTGAGTCCCGATGAGTGGTGTATGCATTTCCAACTAAGTTTGAAGGATGGTGCGTTGCATTGGCACCGACCACTACCGAAGAAGACCAAACGTACATGAAGTCCTCTCTGCAGTTCGTTTATTAGGTACTACTGCGCTCAATACAACCAAACTACAGAGACTCGCGACTACTCAGCAAAGCGAGACGGCAAAGAGCATCTGTGCGATTACCTGAACCGACGTAACGGGTATGCGAGGAACGCGGGAATAGAATTCGACAAGGGAGGCCGAAAGGCACGCGATCATGTGAACCATTTCCTAGAGACCTGTGGTGATCGCGGTCTCGAACGAAGGCTATGTCATGTAAAGGTGTACGACATCCACGAATTAGAGGAAATGTTTATTGAGATCCTGAAGGTGGATGATCGCGAATCGGCGAAAAGACCTTCCCAATTCCGATCCCGAAGTCATGATACCGGTCGATCGAAACGTAGCGATCACCCGAGAGACGGCTATTCACGCAGTGATCGCCGTGACAGAGACTTTGGACGCCGTCGCGATAAATCACGAAACATCTCACGAGTCACCTTTACAGAAGGAGCGAAGACATTTGCAGCCCAAAAGACGACGATCGTCACGATAGTTACGATGAGTACAATGATTATGATAACCATGATGGATGGAACGCTGATGAATCGCGATACACTGACGAAGAAAGAAAAGAAAACGATGATTCTGATGATGAGGATGACTTTGTGGCAGCGGCTAATGAAATAGAACGTCGAAATGAAGCGGATGGGACGTACGCCCAATCAGACGCTAGAGTCCCGAAGACTGAACAATCGCGAGGATTTAACCGAGACAAGTCGGTTCCAGCGGCAAAATAACACTGATCGTTTTCCATGACGACAGTATGGGCCCTGTGGAGCATGCGGCGATATGACGCACTCGACTAACTTTTGTCGAAGACGATGCAAGTTATGTAAGCAAGTCCGCGAGCCTAGACGGTGCGAGGTCTTCCAGGAACTGACTAAGCTAGTCCGTACCAAGGTGGATAAGACGTACATCGCACCCGAACTTTAGACTCTATTCTTCGGTGAACCTTTCAACTAGGCAACCCGTCTACTTTGACTGGGTTGGTCCAAAACGGGCTGCCACAGTTAACAGAACCTGCAATTGAAGCTGAGTGTGTATATGCTTTTGTGGGGGAATGCGAATGGCCAGTGAAGAGACAGGTGAATTGTACGATTTCGATGGAAAATTGATTAGAAAGAAGTAACAACCTCGGTGGAGACGATATTATGAGGAGTACCGAAGACTCACTGGGAGGGAAGACAGAAGGAATAGTCTCAAGTGTAGTCCAGGAAGCTCCAAGACGAAAATTAAAGAAGGAAGTCCGACTACTCCCCGGTGAGAGAATGGGGTGATGGTCGACTCAAAAGTTCTATCGGAGAGTGAGGATGCGGACACTGGTTGAAGGAGCAGTCAATGACCAGAGAACTTGAATACTCCTGGACACAGGAGCAAATGTGAGTATCGTATCGGCACGATATGCGAAGAAGTTGGGTCTTCGCGACATCCCAGATCAAGATTGTAGCATGGATATCCAAGGTATTTCAAAAGAAAAAACTACGACGTCTCGAAGAACGATTGTGAAGATAACGCTCGGCTGGGAACAAGTGCATGTCTTCAACATGTGTGACACGAAGTGATTTGGAATTTCTCATGGAAGCAATGATTTGTATGGAACCAGGAATTAGGTAATGGATACAGGATTGCCAAGTGTGAATGCGCGGAAAGAAAAGTGACTGTGGAACGTGTGAGAAGCGATTGACCTGGAGAAGAGCTAAGGATGGGCCTTAGAGTCTGGAAGCACTATGATGCTCAGTCCAGACTCGCCCTTGTCCTGACTACGGGTACTTATGATTGTGAAAAGTGTTGGTGCGAACGTATTGCATCGAACACCCCGTATTGCCTCAGTTCGGCCCAGAAAACGTCAGTCCCGAGCTCAAGAATGTTACCAACTAGGACTATTTGCGCACAAGACTCACGATCCAAGAAGAGATGAACAACAGATGGAGTGGTGACATGTTCTACAAGCAGTGGAGAGCATTATATTCCAAGGTCTGGCCGAAAATCCCTGAATCCCGACCGATAACCCCTGAATCCCGAAGGAAATCCCTGAATCCGGATGCCAAAGTGTCAAGAATCAAGAACATCTACGTTTATATGAAGACATTACGTTATGGATTCAAAAGATTTTACGATGAGATAAGACAAGACTCAGAGATTCAAGTCTATTACGATGGATTATATGTTATGATACGTTATGGAATCCCTCCTGAAGTCAAAGACCTGAGTCAGAGTGTAACGCGATCAAGTGATGACAACCAGTGCGAAGTGAGGTGATGCGCCTCACTTCTAATGATGCTACGTGAATGCTTAATGAAACCAAGTGTGTTTGAAGTTCAACCATGATGAGTGTACTTAAGT